TGGATAGGGCTGCTAATTGTAGCTAACACACATATACATACAAGAGTTTCCTGCTTACTGTTTCCTGAACTTTCTTCTGTGTATAAAATGAATATAGGTTCTGTATAATCACTGTATAATCACGTCCTACAGTTTCTGTAATCATCAAACAGTATTTTAGTTCTCGGGGTTTTTAAAACACTTTATAAAAATAATATCAACTTGCTATGATGTATTAGAGCAATAAATGTTTTTCTTTGTTGTTGTTGTCATTTGAATTTGAAATATTTTAAAAAGAGTGTAATAAAATGTGCTTTGGAGCGTTTACTTAGATAAGAAATTCCAATCAGAGCGTATAGCGTGGAACAAAAGTGCACTGGTTTAAAGCCATGATCTTTATTCAAGGACAGCAAGGTGGACATGACATGCTATGTGAAACACTTTAAAGATGTAAGGAGGACCTACAGAATTATCTCCAGAACTCTTGAAGGACTCTCAAGGGTCTGCCTCCGGAAAAGGGCAAAATGCAGTTACAGAGCTTAACATTCTGCCTCTAACTAGCAGATTCATCTGCACAGAAATTTCTCTGTGCTGTACAGTTTGGTCCCAGCTGCAGGCTGGAGAGCTGCACTGCTTACACACACAAATATTTCCAGTAGTATCAAATAATACTTGTTATTATTCTGACCTCTTATACTCTTGGGTTTTGGCATATTAAACCATGAGTGACTTTTTTTCAAGGTACCTCTCAGATTTTGCTCTCTGAGTATTTACAGGGAGCGATTCAATTAGACTGTTCATTTTCTGAGTCTGAGTGCTTCATTCAGAAGATGCTGTTCTGATCCCACTGTTTTGCAGGAACGTATACAGAGCATATCAGAAACCTGAGAAGCTGTAAGTGCCTAGTGTTACAAACGTTTTAAAAGCACATTTTAACTCTTGCAAGCTTCATCTGAACAAAACTTGAAACATTCCATTCTGCTGTTTCTTGAGATGTCCTACATCTATCTAAGATGCTTAGAAATAACTCTCACACTCAAAAATAAACCAACCCTGAAAGACTACATGTATGTGATAAGAATATATATATCCACACACATATTTGTTAAATTTTAACAGCAGCATTTCAAGAAAACAAGATGTCTGCAAATCTGATCACTGCAGTATTATTTTCTTAGGAAAATTCTATTCTATTTACATAAATACCCAGAGAGTGGTAGCAGTCCCATATGGGTGTTCCTGGAATGAAAAATGTGGAAGAATTGTACTATTGACTGATAGGGTTCTAAACAAAAATAATTTCTTATTTACAAATGGATAGAAGAACTAGGAGCAAATTTCCTTTTGTCCCACAGGGAGAACTATTGCTGGACTGGAGGATGGCCATTCTGTGGGCAGATTCCATATAAATCTGTTATTCTGTAGGTTGTTCATCTTGGCTGTTTCTGACTTCTTCCTATGCATAGCTCTGCAAAACACAGTGTCCCCTAGACGGAAGGGGAGATCAACTACAGATCTAATTCACCTTCCTATGTCACTTTTTGCAACTCTCTTTTTAAATATACCCCTGGCTACATTATCAGCTAGGATAAAATTGCTGTGAAATTCCTATTTGTTTCTCGAACTTTTATGAAAAAGGCAGAACATTCTCATGCCTATTTCAGCCTTGGTTCCCAGAATTGTCCTGATAAGATGCTTAAGGATACATATTAACCTGTATGAATCATAGAGGCTAAGCTTGGAAAAGACTTCTGAGATCATCGAATCCAACAGTCAACCCATCACTACCATAACCACTAAAACATGCCCCTAAGTGCTACAGGTTTCTCGTGCTTCAATCTCAGTGAGATAAATATAATTTAGGGACTTTTTTTAGGAAATGATTTGGGAAGGTATTTTACAACATGCTTATGTCCATATCTGCTCTAAAGAAAAGCCGACAAATCTACATAATGATATTGATATGTGAATCTTTCAGTATTCAGTCTAGAAACAGTTCTGTTATTACATGAACTCTTTTACTAGCTCATCAGCTGAGGAGCTGAGTCCTGTTCACATTTACATTGTGTGATTATATTGTAATTTCTCAGGCAAGAAGCTGTAAATGGCTCATGGAATAAACGAGAATTGGGTCCTCTGAATTTAGCTGTGATATAGCTAAAGTAAAAGATACATGGGAAAAAAAAAAAACATCACAAATTTTATTTCATTCTGGCAAGCCCTGATATGGTTTCAGAGAATTTTTTTCCTAATTGCTGGTGTCAGAGGAAGTGCAATTAGTGTGGAGTGGTGTTTTCTTCCTCCCTGAACTACTGTGCAAAAACACACCATGCGAACTCACAGAAAGTGACAAAACATCGACGTGCACAGAGCACTGAGCCTGAGGCCAGATCTACTTTCCTGTAAAATCCTGTAACAGAAAAATTCAGACCTCCTCATGTACAGTTTACTTCTCCCGTTGCTTTGTTTTGCATTCTCTGCAGAAACAGGAACAAGTACAGAGGCAAAATCAGTATTTCCAGCTGAAAGCCATCAGAATGAAGGGAAATTTCTCTTGAATCTTGGCAAGGGGACCCACTTTCAAACCCCACCCATCCTATAACCTAGCAGCTACTGTAACTGCTGCCATTTTTTTTTGTCTGTTCATTGTTCTGCAAAAGCAGTGAAAGGGGAGTTTTGGCTTCCTGGAACAGCAGTAATTTTTGTGGCTATTTGCCATATAACAAAGAAGGACTATGTTGCTTTCAAAGCTGTGCTTCAGTTTATCAGAAGTCAGCTTGGCATGAACTGAAATGAACTTTGAAGCTTTTTCTGAAATAAAAGCTTGGGTTTTACACATATGGAATCTGCAAGATGTGGGCCACAAAACGCTTTAGAGGCCTTTGACACCATTAAATAAAAATCTGGTGAATCGGGTATAAGGGGAAGGGGACTTATTTAGGGAAGCTGAACGATAATGAGAGAATGATAATTGGGTCTGTTTAGCCTTGAGAAAAGGAGACTGAGAGGGGACCTGATCCAGGTCTATAAATATCTAAGGTGTGGGGGGCAGAATGGCGAGGCCGGACTCTTTTCAGTGGTGAGTGGAGACAGGACAAGGGGAAACAGCCGGAAACTGCAGCATAGGAAGTTCCACATGAATGTGCATAAGAACTTCTTTACAGCGAGGTGACGGAGCACTGGAACAGGCTGCCCAGGGAGGTGGGGGAGTCTCCTTCTCTAGAGATGTTCAAGACCTGCCTGGATGCCTACCTGTGCTACCTGCTGTAGGGAACTGCTTTGGCAGGGGGTTGGACTCCATGATCTCTGGAGGTCCCTTCCAACCCCTACAATTCTGTGATTCTGTGATTCTGTGAAGACCTTTTTTTTTTTTTTTTTAATTTCCCAGTCTCATTTGCATGAGTTCTTTGGCAGTCCTTTTATGTGAAGGGAGACAGTAGAACTCGCAGTCTTCTGTCACTCAGCAGCAATTGATACTGAAGCACAAATAGAAGATGGGGGATACTCAGTGGTTCTGGAGCCTATTGTACACCTAGATTCAACAGTTTAAAGTAAAAATAATTAACATTGCTGAAGGAATCTTCAAAAAAAAAAAAAAAGGATTCATATTTCTGCACGACGCAAGTACGTTATGGAAATCCCAAATGTAAATTCTCAGATCATTATGATTTGAAACAGGTAAAGGGAATACACCATAATTCAGCTTGTTGTCAGTGAAGTAAGTCCATTTCACTAGCTGAAATCCAGCAATACTATGTAAAGGGTTTTCTAATTCAGATTTACAGTAACAATATAAACTTTAAGAACAAAATCTGAATTAAAAAATGCAACTTATTAAAACGCTGTGGCTTATGGTGGATGTATATTAACACAAACTACATAAAACTGAGTGTAAAAGATCAGGTCCAGCTAGTGGCTCTCCCAAAGCTATTGTCTCAGCAACCATCCTTTCATACAGAATAAAAGGATCCTACGTTACTTTTTACTTTCCTGGATCTCAACAATTCCCAGATGAAGTCAGGGTGTCACATCAGTGAAAAAGGTGCAGCAGTTTTTCTCCTGCAGTCACAGGCTGCATCTCTTCTGGCTTTCTAGTGGCCAACACAGAAAACTCATGCGAAATATGCGAGGCTTCAAAGGGGACACAAAGAGGAGAAGCTGCCTCCTGGGATTTGTCGTGGAGAGCTCTTTCTAGAAGGCTTCTCATGCCAGCATTCCGTTGCACGCACAGGTGTGGCTGGTACCACAGCCACAGCAGCTCTTGAATACAAAAAATAGCTGGGCAGCAAGTCACAGAGTGCACAAGGTCCCCAAATAGGAATGAGGCTGCATGCTACGGTACACGAACGGCAACCTTTAGGCACGTGCATCTTGCACAGCCCAAATATAAGTTGTTTGATAAGCGTAACACATGTGTCCTAATGCCTAGCAACTGGATTTTGAATACGCAGCCCAGTGTTAACTTGTCCAACATGTAGTGCATCCGTTGGCTTAAAGCCTGTCATCCCCCAGGTGAAACCAAATGCTGCCTGAAGACTCAGCACGTAGCCTTGACTCGGCAGGCACCTGGAATAGAAAACGACCCTACTCAGCAAATCACTTGATTGAATTTTTTAATTCAACACCTTCCAAACTTTTAAAAACGGACCGCTGTTTTAGACAATGAAATTCATCACAGTCGGGAAAAAAAAGGAAAAAAAAAAAAAAAGAGAAGGGTGCATATTTCGCAGGCACCGCGCTAGCAGCAGTCAGGCAGCGCTCCGCTCACGCAAGCCTTCCCTGTCAGGGATGGCGGCGGAGCGGCCGTCAGCCGGAGGCGACCGTCAGCGCGGAGCGGCCGCCGCTTAACTCGCAGTGACGGGGAATGCCGACCCTCGGCCCCCGGCCCCCGCCCCCCGCCCCGCCGCCGCGTCCCGCCTCTGCCTCCGATTGGAGGACAGCACGGCGGCCGCGCTCGTCATTGGCCACTAGCGTGACGGCCGCGCTCCCCATTGGCTGTCGGCGGGTGCCAGTCGGGCCCGCTGCAGGGGAGGTGGCGAGGCGGTCAGGACCCCTCTTCTGCTCGGCGGCGGCGGCGGCATCATGGTGAGCTGTGCGGGCCGTCCTCCCGCCCGGGAGCCGGGCGCCGGCAGAGGGTGGCCGGGCCGGGCCTGGCCTGGCTCGTGGCGGGGAGAGGCTGGAGCAGATGTGGGGGTTGAAGCGGGAGGGCGGCCGGGCCCCGGGCGGTTTGGGTTCGGGGCGGGGGTGGCAAGGCGGAGGGCCGTCCGCTCCGCGGCGAGGGGCGCTGGGCTCCGGGGCCGGGGTCTGGGTCTGGGTCTGGGTCTGGGCTCCGTCCGGTGTCTGACCGCCACGCCGCCTCGCCCTGCCCGCAGTACGGCTTCGTCAATCACGCCCTGGAGCTGCTCGTCATCCGGAACTACGGGCCCGCGGTCTGGGAGGACATCAAGTAAGTCTGTCTGTTTGCTTGCCTGCCTTCTGTGGGACCTGCTTTCTTGGTCCAACCCGTGAGGAATGGCAGTGAATGTCCTCGTTTTTAACTAATGATAAATCATGGGACCGGGATTTCCCGCATCTTCGTGCTGAGACTGTTGCTTGTGCTGCTCGTTTAGTGGCTGTGAATACAGTAGCACTGATACATAGCCATGAGTATAAGATATATTTTAAAAAGACAGATGCTTACATTAATGCAGTAAGGCTTCAGTTTGCTGCATAGTTAGGCTAAGCAGCTTAACGTGGTCTTTTGATATTGCATGTTTTAAGGGAAGAGCCAATTACCTAACTTGGAGAAGGCAGCCTTCTTTCAGTTGGACATCTTCTATACTGTTCTATCCAGTTTATTTTGGGCCAGTGTTAATAGTATGTCAGTGCAGCTGTCTTGTTGATCTGACACAATTTTTAGGTGCCCTTAAGTGGGAGGGTTTTGTGACCATAATGGTTGGCTTTTCTTCACGAGTCCATTCATTGAAATGGATTAATCTTATCAGAGCATGAAAAAATGTTGGATGGAAGGGGCCTTTGGAGGTTGTCCAGCCCACGCTCTGTTCCAGCTAACACTGTTTAACACTGTTACCTGTATCAGGATTTAGCTGCCTTTTTATTTTTTTTCAAGCTATGTCTTTGAAATCATCAGAGATGGAGCACCCCCAGTTCTGGTTCAGCAGGTAGCCACCATTCCGTCCCAGGGATCCAAGACTGTTAATCTATAAGCTATACTTTGTAGTTCTGTGGACTGTGTGGATGTCTTCGCATATCCTACTTCTCATTTTTGCACATACCTACTGCAGTACTGATGATCACCTAGAGCCTACGGTCAGCACTACTCATGTAATGTTTTGGAAGAATGTAATGACAAGGTATAAAACGTTTGAATGTCAGTTGTGTAAGTTCAGAAAGCTGATGGGTCATGCTGTTGTCTTTCAGCTGGGAAGCCTTGTCTTCTAGTGTTCAAGAGGCAGGTTCTGCTATTAACTCACAGAGAAGATGGCTTTCTGGAATGAACAGTATTGTAACAAGGCACAAACAGAGGAGTAGAAAATGATCTACGAGAAAGAGGCAGTGTTTACACAACAGCTGCCCCAGCTGCTTATGCAAAATATGTTTGCAACTGGGTTTGTATTCACTATGACTTGCTTTGAGTGTTAGTTTTTTGTAGAGTTTAGAAACCAGCAAGCAAACTCTCATATATCCTACTGGAACAAATTATAATGGTTATGCTGTTATAAAAGATGGTATGGAGGTCCTCTTCTAGGCATTAAGTACCTGTTAGTTTAGGTGCCTTAAGTTGTTGTCAGCAGGGTATATGCACGTAGTCTGTCTTTTACGAAAGCACCTCTCTGTGTTTGTTTAAATACAGGATTTTCCCACAGGCTCCTAAATCTAAACTGACTCTGTGTTAGATGATCAAACTGTAACACTTTCAAATATATTGCCGAGAATAGGAATGAAAACTTGAATATCATATTAAGAAACACATTAAAAGGCTTCATCGCAAGAGTGTGAAATAAATCAGTATTTTTCCTGTGTAAATGATCTGGAAGATTGTTTTAGGGAAATGAAATGGGATGATCTCTCAACTGGAGTCTCCATCATTTTTCTGTTATTGTGGTAGAAATCCACACCAAACAAGTAGCCTGTGAGCACAGAATAACTCAGCAGAAGCTGAAAGCTCAGTTTTTGCAGGCACAAAACACTTGTAGGTAAAATCATTTTTTAAGTTGATTTTAGAAAGAAGCATCTGAATGGAAACTTGTACGTTGGCAAAATGTGCCTTAGTATGGGGTGTAGAAAACAAGAAATAATATTATTTTCCTGTTGTTCAGTGCTTAGTATGGAATCAAGGCATCCTCCTGCCTTCGCCCTTTTGGGGGTCAGCCTGGCGTAGTGCTGTCCACACGTGCTCTTAAATGTTAACACTTAAGTTCTGGGGAGCCAGCTGGGTAGTGAAGTGTTTACATGAGTTCAGTGAATGGCAGTGAGCACTGTGGAGAGCAGAAGGCAATCACTTGTCTTTTCAGGAAGGAAATTTTTGTTGTTGCCTTCAAAACCTTGTGCATTGTCAGCTACCAAGCATCTGGGCTTGTTCACTCATCAGAATTTGCTATAACTGCCCTGTTATGGTTAAAACAGTGGAACATGGGGAGCTGAGTAATTACCATGGTGTGGTTCTCGGGTTTAATGTAAGCAGAAATCTTCTCACATTCAGCTGGGGTGGTAGAAAAACTGTTCAATTTAGGGTAGCCAAGCGACATAGCTGTCGTTTTCCTTTAAACTGTATTGATGTGGTGTCATGTAAAGCTGTGTTTTGGCCACAGAAGTGCTGAGTACCTTGAAAGAACGGTACCTGTCTCAAACTGGGCATCCAAAATTCATGAAAGCTTTTGAATTAGTTTCAGCATTACATATAATTATCTTCTGCTCTGAGACAGTGCCATCCATTTAAAATAGAAATTATGTAAATGGCCTCACTAGCCAGTTGGAGAGCTAGTTAATGCTTGTCCATTATTATGAGGATCCATTCCACAGAAAGGCTTGTTAGAGAGGAATAAATCCAAAGCTGGATTTTAAAACTACGTTTCATACCCACGCTGAAGTTATATACTGGCCAACCAATATTGACCAAAATAAAAAACTGAATAGTTGTGTATTATCTAAGTGACACAGAATCTGTCCTCAAACTGAAAGAATCAGTTGCCTTGAGGGAGGGAAGCAGGTTGTGTGCTCTCAAAGGCAGGTTGTGTCCTGTAGCCTCAGTGAGAAGCAGGGAAATGTGGTGAGGATGAAACTTCATAGAATCATGGAGTGCCCTGGGTTGAAAAGGACCTCAAAGATCAAATAATTTCAACCTGCCTGCCACTGGCAGGGTCACCAACCAGCAGCCCAGGCTGCCCAGAGCCACATCCAGCCTGGCCTTGAATGCCTGCAGGGATGGGGCATCCACAGCCTCCTTGGGCAGCCTGTTCCAGTGCATCACCACCCTCTGCGTGAGCTTCACGTAGTGAAGCTATGAACCGTACTTAGGTATCACATATAGTTGAAGTGTTAGATAGTCCTGCCATTTATTTTTGGTGGTGTTTCTCAGCAAGGATTGATTTGCAAGAGAAGCTTGCTGCTAAACTCCTTTTAGGCACCTTAACTGTAGATTTGGATGTGCCTGGGACTTAATGTTTGTTGTTTTGTCTTTTTAATGCCTTTGGGATTTTTCCATCTGGTTGCTTGGTTTCCTGTTCCTTTCTTATGCACTTCTCACCCAAGAACTGTGGAAGTCCAGGTACCTTTCAGCGGGTTATGGACTTTACCATGTAGACATATCTAACTATATTTCGCAGTGCTGCTAATGGCTTCCTTGTGAATCTTCCCTCCTGTGTTGTTGAGCTGCTGTGAGCTTGCTCCGCGTTCACCATTCTCAGCCCACAACAAATTTATTGCAAAGAATTTTTGCTTTGCAGTTGAGCCAAAGTTACTGATTCTGTCATGCTCAAAGGTGTTACAGACACGCTATCTTTAGTGCCTTTTAGAAAGGAAACTCTTCACTATGGTTTTATACATGGAAGTCTGTTTTTTCTGGGCTGTGTAGGACCCACTTATAATTAACTGCAGTGGTCTGTGAAAAGTCTTGAAAGTTTATTATTTCCTGCATCCATAGCACTGTGCACCTCTACGCAGTGCTAAAGGTGGAGTGTTCTGTTCAGTCCATCTCATAATTATTTAAAAGAATCCAACAGTTTGAGTATAAATAGAGGTCAGAAATATGCTGTGGGAAGCCATTAGTATGGGAAGGACAATAGATTAATTCTTTTCATCCGTTACACCTCTTAACAGTGTTTATCCAGGAATCAGCTTTAAGTAGTAACATTTACTGTTTATATTCCTAAGTCTTTATTTCACAGCATTCCAAAGTTCTAAGCAATTCTTATGAAGTCTTCTTATAGCAGATGTTGAATAGGGGATTCTCCATGGGCCTGGAGGCTACGACTGGCAGCATTTGTAGGGTCAGGGCTGTGCATTTGCTGCTCCTTCAGCTCCCCACAGCAGACAGATCTGGATGGACGTCAGGATTTTTAGCTGTGCGGATGCCAAGCTCTATAATTAATCTGGGAAAGGCCTGGCTGAAAAGAAATCCTGCCATACTATGGAATGTGGTGTAAGTATGCAGGCAGCATCTCTTTAGGTACTTTGCAGTTATTCCCAGAACGGTGAATTACTTTTAGATCTGTCAGGATACCAGGTGCTGTAAACATATCACTCACTCTTATAAATGAAGCTTTTAAAAGAAATGATATTGTAAATACCATTCCTTTTAGTCCACTTATGGAAAAGGAAGCAAAATGCTTCTAGCTTTGTGTTTTTCATAATATTTTTAGTATTTGTATTAGTAACAAAAAACTTGCTCATTTGTTATCTGTATCTTCTAGGATTATCTTGTTTTGAAAACCTACATTAAACATTCTCATTTCCAGCCTGTAAAACTGGGAAATAGCTCAGAGCTCTGAAGTCTATAAATACACCTATTTACTTTACCCAGGACGTCATTTTCCTGGACAGATTCCCATTTTTTTTTCCCTAATCTTGTAACTTAATATAATTTATGTTTTTCCCAGTGGGCTGTTTAAAATATCTCTGGACCGTGCATAACATGTACAAGTCTATTTTTTTTTTTTAATTGAGAAGAGAGGGGATTTTGAATCAATATCTTAAATTCTTGAAGCAAAGCATCTTTGTGAAACATGGAAAAGGATGGGCGTTTTGAAAACATAAACCACGTGTTAAGTAACATAATGGGTGGTGAGTGTGTAATCTTAACATAAAAGAGATGCAGAGGTGATGATTCTGGTTTCACCAGTGCCATCTTTAACTCTGACACATGTAAGGCTGTCTAATAATGTTTCCCTTGGAAGGGAGTTAAGCTCAACAAACTCCTATCAGTGAGATCAGAATCGTGCTAGGTTT